GAAAAATTTGAAATTACCAGTAGAGATATAAGGAAGCTTTTGCTAGAGTTGGATGTGACAAAGGCTATAGGACCGGATGGAATATCACCATGGATACTAAAGGAAGGAGCAGAAGCACTGTGCCTGCCACTCTCCATGGTGTATAACAAATTACTGGTAACAGATAAACTGCCAGAAATTTGGAAGGCGGCAAACGTAGTCCTGATATACTAGAAGGGGGATAGACAGGAGGCACTGAACTACAGTCCAGTATCCCAAACCTGCATACCATGCAAGCTAATGGAGAAGATTGTGCGAAAAAGCCAGTGGAACATCTGGTGTGGAAGAACTTTGTAACACAGCATCAACATATGATCAGGGATGGCAAGTCCTGCCTCACGGGATTAATGAAATTCTACGACCAGGCAACAGAAATCAGACAAGAAAGAGAGGGGTGGGCTGACTACATATTTTTGGATTGCCAGAAAGCCTTTGACACAGTATCACACAAAAGGCTAGTGAAAAAGCTGGAGGTGCAGGCTGGAGTGAAAGGGAAGGTACTCCATTGGATTAGGGAGTACCTAAGTAACAGGAGACAACGAGTCAGTGTGAGGGGTGAGGTTTCAGATTGGCGAGACGTCACCAGTGGAGTCCCGCAGGGGTCAGTCCTTGGACCTATACTGTTTCTGATATATATAAATGATCTCCCAGAGGGAATAGACTCGTTTCTTTCACTGTTTGCTGATGATGCAAAAATTAAGAGGAGGATTGAAACAGAGGATGATAGTAGGAGGTAACAAGATGACCTAGGCAAACTGTATGAATGGTCCAACAAATGGCTGCTAAAGTTCAACCCGAGTAAATGAAACTAGGCGGTGGAAACAGGAGGCCAGATACAGGATACAGAATAGGAGATGAAGTACTTCATGAAACGAACAGAGAGAAAGCTCTACGAGTTGATATCACACCAAACCTGTCTCCTGAAGCCCACATAAAAAGAATTACGTCTGCGGCATATGCGAGGCTGGCTAACATCAGAACAGCCTTCAAGAACATGTGTAAGGAATCATTCAGAAATTGTATACCACATATGTAAGACCAGTTCTGAAATATGCGGCCCCAGCATGGAGCCCGTACCTTGTCAAGCAAAAGACGAAGCTGGAAAAGGTTCAGAGGTATGCCACTAGACTAGTCCCAGAACTAAGAGGCATGAGTTACGAGGAAAGGCTGCGGGAAATTCACCTCATGACACTAGAAGACAGAAGAGTAAGGGGGAGACATGATCACTACCTACAAAATCCCCAGGAGAATTGACAGGGTAGACAAAGATACTCTGTTTAACACTAGTGGTACGCAAACAAGGGGACACAAGTGGAAACTGAGTACCTAAACGAGCCACAGGGATGCTAGAAAGAACTTTTTCAGTGTCAGAGTAGTTAACAGGTGGAATGCTTTAGGCAGAGATGTGGTGGAGGCTGACTCCATACACAGTTTCAAATGCAGATTTGATTGAGCCAAGAAGGCTCAGGAATCTGTACACCAGTTGATTGACAGTTGCGAGGAAGGACCACAGAGCCAAAGCACAACCCCCGCAAGCACAACTAAGTGACCCTCTTCCACTCTCCCCCAAACCCCACCCAACCCTCACCCCTCCTATGTACCTCCAGCCCACATATAACCCACTCACCTTGTGACCCCCTAACACCCTCCCCCATCTCCCTCTTCCCCTCTTCTACCCCAAAACCCCCACCTACCCCCGATTCCCCCCCTAACTAATATACCCTCTCTTCCACTCCCAGCAGCCATGCTCCATTCTCCTCTCAGCTCTCTGCCCTCAATATCCCTCTCCCCCCCAACCTCTCAACCTCTATCTGACTCTCAGCCTCACTCTATTTCTCAACCCCCTATGCCATTCAGACCCTCCTTAACTTTCAGACCCATTATGCCTTTCCTGCCCCCTTAGATGCCTAGACCCCATTCGCCTACCAGGCACTCCCCGGCACCCCCCCCTAGCACCCCCACAGACATTCCCACAGCCCCCACTCGCCCCCCAGACACCCCCTGTACCCCCCCCCCCCCGGACACCCGGTGAAAGGGGGAACTTTGGCACTAGGGTTTCCAAGAAGAGTCTCAATATTTGGCACACCAATGTTGATTGGTGTTAAAGAAATTATAAGAAAGATATTGCAATCAAAGCGAAAAAGCCACCTAAATTACTACATAGCCATATAAGAAGGAAAATGTCGGTAAATGACCAATAAATGACCAAATGACAAGACTGAGGAAAACAGAAGGGGCATATACAGAAAGCGACAAGGAAATCTGCGAGGTACTGAATGCAAGTTTCCATGGAGTGTTCACAACCGAGCCTGAGTGGTTCCCATTGTTAGAAGACATTACCCTAGATGAAAGACTATCGGATATAGAGGTGACAGCAGAGGAGGTAATGAAACAGTTGACAACACTGGATGGAACAAAAGTGGTTGGACCAGACAAAGTATCACCGTGGATACTAAAAGAGGCAGCGCAGGCTCTCAGCGTGCCTCTGGCAATGATCTTTAATGAGTCACTTACGTTGGGAGAATTGCCCAGTTGCTGGAAGGAGGCAAATGTCGTACCGATTTTCAAGAAAGGTGATAGGGAGGAGGCACTTAACTACAGACCCGTATCACTGACAAGCATCCCCTGCAAAATACTTGAAAGAATAATTAGGCTAAGACTTGTTGAGCACCTGGAGAGCATTGGGTTTGTAAACAAGCACTAACATGAGTTCTGGACAGGGAAATCATGCCTAACAAACCTTTCAGAATTCTATGACAAAGTAACAAGGATAAGGCAGGAGAGAGAAGGCTGGGCAGACTGCATATTTCTTGACTGCCAAAAGGCCTTTGATACAGTACCGCACATGAGACTGCTATACAAACTTGAGAGGCAGGCAGGAGTAAGCGGAAAGGCCCTAGCATGGGTGAGGAACTACCTAACAGGAAGGAGCCAAAGGGTAATGGTAAGGGGCGAGAAGTCGGACTGGCAAACAGTAACGAGTGGAGTACCTCAAGGACCGGTGCTGGGCCCAATCCTCTTTCTAATTTACGTAAATGATATGTTTACAGGAGTGGAATCATACATGTCAATGTTTGCGGAAGACACAAAATTAATGAGAAGAGTTGTGACAGATGAGGATTGTAGGAACCTCCAAGAGGACTTAAACAGGTTGCAGAGATGGTCAGGGAAATGGCAACTGGAGTTCAACACCAGTAAATGTAAAGTTATGGAAGTGGGATCAAGTGATAGGCGACCAAAGGGACAGTACACAATGAAGGGGAACTGTCTACCTGTAACGATTCGAGAAAGAGACCTGGGAGTGGATGTGACACCTAATCTAACTCCTGAGGCACATATAAAAAGGATAACGACAGCAGCATACTCTACACTGACGAAAATTAGATCTTCATTCAGAAACCTAAGTGTGGAGGCTTTTAGGGCGCCTTACACTGCATACATGTGACCAGTCTTAGAGTATGCCGCGCCATCATGGAGCCCCCCACCTGAAGAAACACATAAGGAAACTGGAGAAAGTTCAGAGGTTTGCGACGAGGCTTGTCCCAGAATTACGAGGGATGGGATATGAAGAGCGTCTGAAGGAACTAAACCTTACGACACTAGAGAAAAGAAGGGAAAGAGGATATATGATAGAGACATATAAAATACTCAGGGGAATTGGCAAAGTGGAAATAGATGAAATGTTCACACGTAATAATAACAGAACGAGGGGACATGGGTGCAAACTGGAAACTCAGATGAATTACAGAGATGTTAGGAAGTTTTCTTATAGGGTGAGAGTAGTGGGAAAATGGAATGCACTTGGGGAACAGGTTGTGGAAGCAAACTCAATTCATACTTTTAAAATTAGGAACGATAGGGAAATGGGACAGAAGTCATTGCTGTAAACAACCGATGGCTGGAAAGGCGGGATCCAAGAGTCAATGTTCGATCCTGCACGTACAAATTGGTGAGTACAAATAGGTGAGTACACACACTCACACAACACTGGCCGCCACTCACCTCCCAGCACCCGACACGTCAGCACCAGGCCGCCACTCACCTCCCAGCACCCGACACGTCAGCACCAGGCCACCACTCACCTCCCACACCCGACACGTCAGCACCAGGCTGTCACTCACCTCCCAGCACCCGACACGTCAGCACCAGGCCACCACTCACCTCCCAGCACCCGACACGTCAGCACCAGGCCGTCACTCACCTCCCAGCACCCGACACGTCAGCACCAGTCTGTCACTCACCTCCCAGCACCCGACACGTCAGCACCAGTCTGTCACTCACCTCCCAGCACCCGACACGTCAGCACCAGGCCACCACTCACCTCCCAGCACCCGACACGTCAGCACCAGGCCGCCACTCGCCTCCCAGCACCCGACACGTCAGCACCAGTCTGTCACTCACCTCCCAGCACCCGACACGTCAGCACCAGGCCACCACTCACCTCCCAGCACCCGACACGTCAGCACCAGGCCGCCACTCACCTCCCAGCACCCGACACGTCAGCACCAGGCCGTCACTCACCACCCAGCACCCGACACGTCAGCACCAGGCCACCACTCACCTCCCAGCACCCGACACGTCAGCACCAGGCCACCACTCACCTCCCAGCACCCGACACATCAGCACCAGGCCGCCACTCACCTCCCAGCACCCGACACGTCAGCACCAGGCCACCACTCACCTCCCAGCACCCGACACGTCAGCACCAGGCCACCACTCACCTCCCAGCACCCGACACGTCAGCACCAGGCCACCACTCACCTCCCAGCACCCGACACGTCAGCACCAGGCCACCACTCACCTCCCAGCACCCGACACATCAGCACCAGGCCGCCACTCACCTCCCAGCACCCGACACGTCAGCACCAGGCCGCCACTCACCTCCCAGCACCCGACACGTCAGCACCAGGCCGCCACTCACCTCCCAGCACCCGACACGTCAGCACCAGGCCACCACTCACCTCCCAGCACCCGACACGTCAGCACCAGGCCGCCACCAACAGGGTACGGACCGATCACTCCGCTCACCTCCAGTCCCGCTGAGTTGATGATGCTGACCTTCCGTGGCGGCACTGTGGGAGGGAGACAGTTAACGTGGGAGAGGTCATTAATGGCGACCTTCCGTGGCGGCACTGTGGGAGGTGGACAGTTAACGTGGGAGAGGTCATTAATGATGACCATCCGTGGCGGCACTGTGGGAGGTGGACAGTTAACGTGGGAGAGGTCATTAATGGTGACTATCCGTGGCGGCACTGTGGGAGGGAGACAGTTAACGTGGGAGAAGTCATTAATGGCGACCTTCCGTGGCGGCACTGTGGGAGGTGGACAGTTAACGTGGGAGAGGTCATTAATGATGACCTTCCGTGGCGGCACTGTGGGAGGGAGACAGTTAACGTGGGAGAAGTCATTAATGGCGACCTTCCGTGGCGGCACTATGGGAGGGAGACAGTTAACGTGGGAGAGGTCATTAACGATGACCATCCGTGGTGGCACTGTGGGAGGGAGACAGTTAATGTGAGAGAGATCATTAATGGTGACCATCCGTGGCGGCACTGTGGGAGGGAGACAGTTAACGTGGGAGAGATCATTAATGGTGACTATCCGTGGCGGCACTGTGGGAGGTGGACTGCTAACGTGGGCGAGATCATTAATGATGACCATCCGTGGCGGCACTGTGGGAGTTGGACAGTTAACGTGGGAGAGATCATTACTGATGACCATCCGTGGCGGCACTGTGGGAGGGAGACAGTTAACGTGAGAGAGATCATTAATGGTGACCATCCGTGGCGGCACTGTGGGAGGGAGACAGTTAATGTGAGAGAGATCATTAATGGTGACCATCCGTGGCGGCACTGTGGGAGGGAGACAGTTAACGTGGGAGAGATCATTAATGATGACCATCCGTGGCGGCACTGTGGGAGGGAGACAGTTAATGTGAGAGAGATCATTAATGGTGACCATCCGTGGCGGCACTGTGGGAGGGAGACAGTTAACGTGGGAGAGATCATTAATGGTGACTATCCGTGGAGGCACTGTGGGAGGGAGATAGTTAACGTGGGAGAGATCCCAGAGGCAGATAGGAATGTGTTAAATAAATGATAAAAAATGTGAGACTTTGAACAATGTATTTCTCATGCAAGACGATAATGGGAATAGATAAAGATAGTGAGACACACAGCTAATGTTGGAGAGACAAAGCTGCGTTATGAGAGTCAAGGCTGCGTCATGAGAGACAAGACTGCCTCACGAGAGACAAGGCTGAGTGTAACTGTTGGTGGGAGAGTGAGTGTAACTGTTGGTGGGAGAGTGGGTGTAACTGTTGGTGGGAGAGTGGGTGTAACTGTTGGTGGGAGAGTGAGTGTAACTGTTGGTGGGAGAGTTGGTGTAACTGTTGGTGGGAGAGTGGGTGTTACTGTTGGTGGGAGAGTGGGTGTAACTGTTGGTGGGAGAGTGAGTGTAACTGTTGGTGGGAGAGTGAGTGTAACTGTTGGTGGGAGAGTGAGTGTAACTGTTGGTGGGAGAGTGGGTGTAACTGTGGGTGGGAGAGTGAGTGTAACTGTTGGTGGGAGAGTGGCTGTAACTGTTGGTGGGAGAATGGGTGTTACTGTTGGTGGGAGAATGGGTGTTACTGTTGGTTAGGAGACACGGACATGGACAGGGAGACACGGACAGGGACACTGAGACACGGACATGGATAGGGAGACACGGACAGGGACACTGAGACACGGACATGGATAGGGAGACACGGACATGGATAGTGAGACACGGACAGGGACACTGAGACACGGACAGGGACACGGAGACACGGACATGGATAGAGAGACACGGACATGGATAGTGAGACACGGACAGGGACACTGAGACACGGACAGGGACACGGAGACACGGACAAGGACAGGGAGACATGGACAGGAACAGGAAGACACGGACAGGGTCATGGAGGCACCGACAGGGTCATGGAGGCCCCGACAGGGACACGGAGACACGGACAGGGACAAGGAGTCTCGGATAGGGACACGGCGACACGGACAGGGACACGGCGACACGGACAGGGACACGGAGACACGGACAGGGAAAGGGAGACACGGACAGGGAAAGGGAGACACGGACAGGGAAAGGGAGACACGGACAGGGACACGGAGACACAAACAGGGACACGGAGACACAAACAGGGACACGGAGACACGTACATGGACATTGAGAGGGACACGGAGACACGGACAGGGACTCGGAGACACAAACAGGGACACGGAGACACGTACATGGACATTGAGAGGGACACGGAGACACGGACAGGGACTCGGAGACACGGACTGGGACACGGAAACACGGACAGGGACACGGAGATACGAACAGGGACACGGAGACACAAACAGGGACACGGAGACACAAACAGGGACACGGAGACACGGGTACGGTGACACGGACAGGGAGACATGAACAGGGACACGGAGACACGGACAGGGAAACATGGACAGGGACACGGACACGGTGACACGGACAGGGGCACGGAGGCACAAACAGGGACACGGAGACACGGGAACGGTGACACGGACAGGGAGACATGAACAGGGACACGGAGACACGGACAGGGAAACATGGACAGGGACACGGACACGGTGACACGGACAGGGACACGGACAGGGACACAGAGACACGATCAGGGACACGAACTGGGGCAAGGAGACATGGACAGGGACACGAACAGGGACTCGGAGACACGGACAGCGACATGGAGAGGGACACGGAGAGATGCAAATATACAAAAAGAAAGATACAGAGTTAAACCGAAAGTCAAGTAAACACACATGTCGGAAAACCCGATACCATTTAATAATATTGCATTCAATAGGCAGATAATATTGCTGCTGTGTTGTATACACAAGTTACCCATAGAAAATGTAGCTTGTAGTGGAATTTTCCATCAATTGAAAACGGGATATCATTGCCACACACTATTATAAATTCACCAGCTATTCTGTTGGGAATTATACTTAATACAGCAGTCTTTGGATTTAATACATCATAAAAACATCTCATTTGAATTAACTTAGTTATCAGTATCAAAATAAAGTAAATGTGACCCTTCTATCGCTTATTGACATCTGGACAAAGTGAGCCAGGAGCGAGAGGAGTAGTGAGAGAGGTCAGCCATTGTTAAGACCAGAGTCGTTGGAGCAAATTCAGCTCCTATAATTTCTCTTGGACGAAGTGTTATGAAGATCAAATCTATTAGTGCTCTACCATCATCAACACACTGTCAACAACCACAAGGGAAGTGTCTTTCCGAAATCTTGTCTAAGTCATTAATGGCCAGTAATGTTATGTTAGATATGATTATTTCCGGTTAGAACACGAATGATCGACTCATCACAGGTAATTAAGCCTTGGTTCTTATCTAATAATATACAGTGTTTTCTCTGATATAGCTGTCATATATTAGGATTCCGGCTTTACAGCAAGTGTCCTTTGACAGGAACAGGAAGAGGAAGCAATAATTTATCTTAGTACATCAGTTACTTGGGTGACGGAAGCTAGCCTCTGACGAGGATAATTTGGTGTCTACATCCCAGTTATACTTGGTGGACTAAGCCTACCATACAATAAGATAAGTCACCTCCAATTTTATTATTATATGTAGTTTAATACTGTCGTTTGATTGGCTGCATATATATAAATTTAATATAAACTCCTCCCAATGTGTAATGATCGATTTGTGAGATTATTGCAGAAATACAGTAAACTTAACATCATACAAATTGCTATCGAAAGATATAAATTAACGTATATATAAATTCATATAAATTAAATAAATATAAATCTCACAGGTCGGTTCCCACAACACACAGCGAGATAGAGTGACAGGCAAACAGAAAAAAAACATTCCTAGACAAACGTGCATTGAGACAGATTTAAGCACAGACACACAGACAGGCAGAGAAACAAACGGACAGAGACAGAGTGAGGGAAAATAATTAAGAAGGAGACGAGAGCTGATATGGGAGAACAAGACAGGAAAGTTGCACATATCACACTGAAGTGTTTAGGGAAACCACAGGCTCTCTTAAGAGCCTGTGGAGTTCTGAACTCCTAAGAGTTCTCCTAAGTTTATTCGGGACCAAAAAAGTGTGTATGTAAATATGATTCGTGTTAGAATCATTAATCTTACCCTTGTCGTCATATTCAACAACATTTGTTCAAAAGAAAGACTGCTATTATAATATACTTGATATATTTCCCTATACAGATATATAAGAGGTGGTAGGAGAAGACGATATGTGCACGAGAGAGGCCAACAAGGCTCTCCCGGGTGTTGCATATTGTCTTCTACAAGGCTTATAGGTTCCTTCAAACAACCAGAAGTGGTACCCTTATATATATATATATATATATATTATATATATATATATATATATATATATATATATATATATATATATATATATATATATATATATATATATATATATATATATATATATATATATATATATATATATATATATATATATATATATATATATATATATATATATATATATATATATATATATATATATATATATATATATATATATATATATATATATATATATATATATATATATATATATATATATATATATATATATATATATATATATATATATATATATATAACTGAAAACTCACACCCCAGAAGTGACTCGAACCCATACTGCCAGGAGCAACGCAACTGGTATGTACAGGGACGCCTTAATCCGCTTGACCATCATGACCGGACATAAGGAAGTGATAGCCGAAGCTATTTGAACCACTTCCCCGCCAGCACTTGGATGGTAATCTTGGGCGTAGCATTTTATCAAATTACCTCATTCTTTGGGGCACACGTGAGGAACACAAATGCAAACAAGCCTGAATGGTCCCCAGGACTACATACAACTGAAAACTCACACTCCAGAAGTGACTCGAACCCATACTGCCAGGAGCAACGCAACTGGTATGTACAGGGACGCCTTAATCCGCTTAATCCAGCCGAAGCTATTTGAACCACTTCCCCGGCGGCACTTTTCGGCTATCACTTCCTTATGTCCAGTCGTGATGGTCAAGCGGATTAAGGCGTCCCTGTACATACCAGTTGCGTTGCTCCTGACAGTATGGGTTCGAGTCACTTCTGGGGTGTGAGTTTTCAGTTGTATATAGTCCTGGGGACCATTCAGGCTTGTTTGCATTTGTGTTCCTCACGTGTGCCCCAAAGAATGAGGTGATTTGATAAAATGCTATGCCCAAGATTACCATCCGAGTGCCGGCGGGGAAGTGGTTCAAATAGCTTCGGCTATCACTTCCTTATGTCCGGTCGTGATGGTCAAGCGGATTAAGGCGTCCCTGTACATACCAGTTGTGTTGCTCCTGGCAGTATGGGTTCGAGTCACTTCTGGGGTGTGAGTTTTCAGTTGTATATAGTCCTGGGGACCATTCAGGCTTGTTTGCATTTGTGTTCCTCACGTGTGCCCCAAAGAATGAGGTGATTTGATAAAATGCTATGCCCAAGATTACCATCCGAGTGCCGGCGTGGAAGTGGTTCAAATAGCTTCGGCTATCACTTCCTTATGTCCGGTCGTGATGGTCAAGCGGATTAAGGCGTCCCTGTACATACCAGTTGCGTTGCTCCTGGCAGTATGGGTTCGAGTCACTTCTGGGGTGTGAGTTTTCAGTTGTATATAGTCCTGGGGATCATTCAG